CCTTGACAGTACCATTGCAAATGAGTTAAAAATAAATATGAAAAAATAAGAAAACGAATGTAAAAAGTGAATTTTATAAAATGGAAGGCAGCGAATCTATTAGATCGTTTTCGCACAGGCTAGGAATAGTGGAGAATTGTCCGTGGCCATGTTGCTGGCGCTGTAACTAGATCTAATTTTCTCGTTTGCTCCAAAGAAATATCAAAAAGGAGGCTAGAAGTTCAGTTGTGGTCTGAGTACAAAATTAGAAAATGTTATATAAATAAGAAGTCGTAGATAAATTAGAAGTAAAATTATTTACTTAGCAACCTGTATTCACGTTAAAGGCGTTTTATAAAGCGAACGGTTTCTATAGAGTGGCAAGGCGACGTTTTTGCGCCCATTAAAATATTCGGCGTGTCTATGACACACCGTCTACAAATTTACTTAAATCGTGGGTGCGAAGATTCCGGAAAACAGGCTCAATGGTAAATCGCAAGCATCCAGGTTGGCAGAAATCCATGAGAACATTGAGAATATTCGACGTGCTGTGGCTCAATATTCGAAGCGCTCTATTCAAAAGAATGGCTAGGCTCTCAACATTCATCGCTCAAGTATGCAACGGACTTTAATGAATGAATTAAAGTTCCATCCGCTCAAAAGTCAATTGGTGCAGTTGCTGAAGCTTACAGACTACAAAATACGAAAAATTTATTGGTAGATGCAAAGGTAATTGAGTTTTATGATGGACTTTTAGAAGAAAATTCTATGAAAATGTTAATATCATATGTGCTAAAACCGCAGAATTAAGACTTGAGAAATCGTATAGTTCTAACGCGGATTTAATCAAGGATATGAAAACTTATATATTACTAATAAAAATCAGCTGCATCGCAAACAAAGCAAAATTCAAAATCTACAGACCAATTTGGAAAAACGATTAAGGAAAGGCTATATCGGATTGGTCATCAGTCATCACTACTAACTAATAATACTCAAGAATCCGGGTTCTAAAACAGGTTACAGGCAAATTAATGATGATAAATTGCCCCTTCTCTGTATAATTGAAATATTAAGTTAATAATCAGACGCAACGTCTTTTTCACATGTGGATCTATCACCTAGTTAGCTGTTCACGACGGAAAAGGCCAATTACAGTTGAAGCGGCTGTTGATGGGCTTCAAAATAATCCTAAATGCATTTTATAGGATTACTTATAATAACATACATGTTTGGATACTTTGAAAATTGCTTTATTTATCTTGACAACTTAATTGTTTTCGGCAATACGTTAGAAAATTGTAATTGAAATTTAATAAAACTAATGCAACACTTAAGAAAACTAAATTTAAAGTTAAATCCTTCTAAATGTAAATTAGTAGTACATTAAGCAAAATGTTTTAAAAAATGTTGCCAATTATCTGATAGACACGTGTTTATGCTTTTTACGGCACATGTAAACTATAAATACATAGATTTTAGCTTGTACACGTAATAAATAACTGACAATGACTTCTAGGAAATCGACGTTTTGTCATGTTTGTATCAGTAAAGTATATTCATGATGTGAAGTTTGTAGGTGATAAAGAACATATTACTCCAATATTTCAGAGCAATATTTTTGTCATACTTATAATGTAATTGTCTTACGATTCACATCAGTAACAAAATGTAGACAATAAAAAAATAATTGCCGCCTTAAATTGACATGTTTTGCAGCTTTTCATAAGAAAATGGCACTTTATCAAGAATTTTTTTAGATAACAAAGTTGTTCGTATTCGTCAAGGTGAATACATTACAAAGTTTCAGTTTGTCGGTAATAAGAAAAAAAGAGGTTTGTCTCTCAGACCATAACCACACTATAGTTAGAGAAGTCCAGTCTATTAAAGAAATAAACAATTTCCATACGCTACTGATGAGGGTGTCAAATAGGCGGTAATGAAATGTGCAATAACATTAAAAACAATATTACTTCGGCCTGGACTTCAAAACGATACTGAGTTTTGTACGACGTCGTGTTAGTTCCCAAAGCTACAAATATTTGAATATTACGATGGAGATTACCACAACGGCCGTGTCAGCATTTCGAAAATTTACTTGGATGTTGTGGAACCACTACGAGGGGATCAACTGGGAAACCACTTCATTTTAATTTTATTTAATGTGAGTTGGATATGTTTACAAAAGCATATCTTTTGGCTTATAAAGAAGCGGCTACCGCAAAAATTTTTGTTGAAAATTATAAGTTGGGTTTATGGTGTGCCTCATGAAATTGTTTTAGATCAGGGTACGGAATTTTTGGCTAACACTTTTAAAAAACATACAAACATATGGGAACAAAGTAACTAAATTCTACCGCATGTCATCGCGAGACAGTAGGTGCCATTGAAAATTCGATTTTCGATTATACTCGTCTACACATTCAAACACATGGAGTTCATGTTATCTTTTTTGTGTTGTAATTCCAATACATTATGTGTATGCCAAAATAAACGCGTTTTTGTAAAAATTGCTAAACTGTTATTCAACCTACCGAATTATGTAGAGCCGTTAAACAATTTTGGCAATTACTCATTGTAATTGAAATTTCGGCTACAAACTGCATGGAATAAAGGCAACAAGAATTTAATAGATTCACGATTAAAGAGGAAACAAAAGTCTGATAAAAATTTAGCAGAAGAAATAATGTTAAGAAATACTAGTAACAACAAGAATGGTTTTTTTTTATATATTTTAAACTTGTTTTAAACTCATATATCTCGATCGAAAACTGGAAGAGAGAAATATCTAAAACCTTGTATCACTAGGAAGGGCTTTTATTTTAATTTCGTATCCAATTATATCATTTAATATGGGTCATTCCATATGAAAAAAAAGTTTGGATATTTCTGCTGAATAACGTACATATTTTGCCCATTGTGAAAAAGATATGATAATTCGTGCTAAACCAAACTATCCAAACCGCACATTATTAGCTATTATGAAAATACCACAAATGGCGTGGTGAGTGCCATCTGTAGTACTATGCCACATTTGAGAATTACGTATGCTCCAACAAGGTCCATTTAAAAATATGAATATCTACTTGCTGAAACGAATCCCGGCGTAGCTCACTTCATTGTGATAGGCACGTTACCATAATCGAACAAAATAATTCGAAATGGTCTGTATTCTGTCGAAACTGCCAGACGCGGATCGCGATTTCGATCGTGCCTATCACGTTGAGGTGAGCTACGCCGGGATTCGTTTCAGCAAGTAGATATCCATATTTTTAAATGGACCTTGTTGGAGCATACGTAATCCTCAAATGTGGCATCGTACTACAGATGGCGCTCACCACGCCATTTGTGGTATTTTCTAAAACGCGCTGTTAAGACAGCAGGTAAGGGTTGTTCTGTGTTCTGTCGGAGCTGCCTGCGACGCGCTGATGAGATCCAAAAAAATCGAAATCGCGATCCGCGTCTGGCAGTTTCGACAGAATACATACCACTTCGAATTAGCTATTATGGTTTAGATGCTATTTGATCTCATTCAAAGAGCTGAAATCGTGTTCCTTTTTTTTTTAACAGTTGGATATCTCAATAACTCCTACAGAAAGGTATAAAGAACTGTTAACAAAATTGACTTAAAATTAAAAAGTTAGGTAGTGTCCAAGAGAAATGGAGTACCCTTTATGACTGACAATATTTTTTTAGGAAAAGCACCATATGATTGCAAACTTTTATAAAAACATTTTTTTATTAAATGTATTACGACAGTAATTTTAAGTTTTTCTGATTGTATTAACTCATTTAACAATACTGCTTAAAACGAATTTAGGACTCAATTCTGATAAAAATTAAAAGACTAATTCATTAGAACATATTTTGTGTGAAACGGAGCTTCTTGCGGACTTTTTTCCGCATTCGACACAACTCCTTTGAATAGCTATAGGTATAATTAAACGATTCTGTCCATCAAATTTTACTCCCTAACTTATATACCTATCTCCCAGTAGCTTCGATCTTTGAGTAGTTGGTTTTTTGGCACTGAAAGATTGCAATTGTACGACGAACGTTCAGCAAAGAAATATATTCATCTGGATGAATTATTTGATTTCTCCAAACGTTTACTACGGCAACATCCAACGTTCGGATAAACAAAGGTCAGGGCTATTTTTTTTTTTAACTTCTTTAACCAATTTTGAAATAAAAAGCCACTTTGTATCGCTTCTATATAACTTATCTAAAAGTTTAATAGAGGTGTGAGATATAGCAAAAACTGATTTGTTCTCGTTCCACTTTATTACCAAAATTTCATTAGATTTATCAAAACCATAATCAAAGTATCTTTGTTCCATTCATCAGAGGACATTTTCTAAGTGTTTCTTGCACAGCTCCATTCGATTTTAGGTTCATATCTTGACACATGCAGTTTCTGATTGCTAAAGAAGTTATCAAAAATAAAATTGGAGGTCCTCACATTCCTCAGGAGGCAAACTGATGTGAGTTGTTTTTATAGCATATGCCCAACTAGCCCACCAAATCTTCTCCTTCCTTCTTCTTTCCCGCAGTAAGGCTGAAAGGCGTTAAATATCCTGACGAATTGCACTTATACCACAACTTGTAACCGAACTTTGAATTTGAACATGAACGTATGATTTGATGATGAAATAGTTTACACACATGGTCATTGTCCTATTTATGGGACACAAACAAAATGACGATTTTAGTTTGTACTGTACAGTATTACTTATTAGTAATAATACTATTTTTTTATGGTACCTTTTGCTTTTTACTCTAATAAACAGAAAGTATGATAAATATAATACGTACTTATACCATTCGCACTGTAAAGACTTTCTGACAATATTTTCATAGCTTATGTTTTATATATTTATAAAGCCGACCTCGAAAATCTTTATTTAAATTATTTTATTCTTTTTCAAAGCATTTAACAAATAACAACTTTAGTGTTTTAGACATTTTCTCCTTTTTGGTGTTATCAAATTTAAGAAAATGTCTAAGTGTCCTTGTTCTAGAAGCTGGTGTCAAGCAACACGACTCAGAGAAATTGGCGTGGTATTCTCATCGCTCTTCTTGTCATTGTGGTTGTTCTGGCACTTATTGTAACTTCGGTTATTTTGTTGACCCCTCCAGATGAAGGACCTCGAATAAAGGGTGCAAGATTTCGTATGCAAGATTTCCTTGGTCACGATTTTCAAGTCTTACGATTTAACGGAACGTGGGTATCAGGTAAGTCCGCAAAGTAAGAAAGCAGTTATAATGAACCTACGTAGGCTTTCTTTAGACACCCACGATTTGAGTTCATCTAATTTTAACTAGTCAATGGGCTTGTTACCTCATATTTATTTTTGCCCCAAAACATATTTTTAAGAAAAGTATTATAGCTTTCTAGTAATTCACAAAAATTCGATTTCGATTTCTCGCGTTTTTTATCAGCAATACGTACCCATGTCATTCCCATGCACAGAAACACGGGTGAACCTGAAACTTTACACTACAAAAAAAGCTGATTATTACAGAATAAGTAGTATATTTAACCATTCAAATATTTATTTATTTATTTATACTGGATGTACCCTTGATTACAGTGTGTAAGAATAAGAATCGTACAGTTTTAAATTTCAGTGAGATTTACATATTTCAGTGAGTGCAAAAATTTTGTTATATTGGTATCGAAGAAGTTAACATCAATTGCTATTTTATTGCTCAGACGTATTAAGCGAGTGAAGGTGTCGTTTAAGCCTAAGTCTGTGCTCCTGTAAGGAATATAAAATAAATCTGAATTTTTAGTGTTAGCGGCACCGACTCTAAATGAAATTTGTGATATTAAAAAAGAGCTGTCGAGCATGATTTTAAATAAGAAAGAGAGATCAAAAGTCAGTCTTCTATTTAGTAAAGTTTGTAAGTCCAGTTGATCTAAAATTGAAGAAAAATCATTATTCATGCGACATCGCGTTGCCCATGCGAAAAGCAGCATAACGCAAAAATTTATCTCCGGTTTTTTATCATCTTATTTTGTACATTTGAAAGTAGAGACCAAACAACCGAGCAAAACTCGAGAAAAGGGCGAACAAGAGTTTTGTAAAGAGTGAGAGAAGTGCTAACACGAGATAAGTCAGAAGTATTTCTACTAATAAACCCCCACGTACGTAAGGCTTTAGATGATACGTTATAAATATGATCATTGAAATACAGACCGGTGTCTAAAAGAACGCCCAAGTCTTTGACAGTATGTACACGCTTTAAATGCTAATTTCCCATCATATAATTGTACTCTGTAGAGTTCTTTTTTATAGTGAATGAGATTATAGAACATTTCTTAACATTAAGATTTAACAAGTTGAGATCACACCATTCGACTATATGTGTAATATCATCTTGCAAATTTTCAGCATCGGCGACAGTATCAATAGTTTTGTAAATTTTAACATCGTTAGCATACAAGAGTATGGATGAATGTTCGAGACATAACAGTAGATCATTAATAAAAAAATTAAACAGGAGAGGGCCCAAATGAGAGCCTGTTGGGACTCCAGATGGGACATTTATAACTTTGGATTTGTGATTATCAATTTAAACAAATTGCGATCTATCTTTTAAATAACTTTCAACTCAATCTACAGTGGTGCATTAATTCCCAAAATTTTCAATGTAGCGATCAGTTTGCTATGATTAACGCTATCGAATGCCTTGGAGAAGTCTGTATAGACTGCATCTACGAGGGTGGATTGATAAGTTTCCGGCCTGACCAAGAAAAACAAGGTTTTTAAAAATTTTTTTTTTTTATTTCTCAAAATAATCTCCTCCAAGGCTGATACATTTCTCATAGCGGTGTTCCAGTCTATTAATGCCATCTCTATAGACTGATTCGTCAAGCTCCTCAAAATAACCATTTACAGCTTCGATTACTTCTTCATTGTCCGCAAATCTCTTACCGCCAAGCCATTTTTTGAGATTAGGGAACAGAAAATAGTCACTCGGGGCTAGGTCTGGAGAGTAAGGAGGGTGCGGCATCAATTCAAACTTTAGATCGTTGATTTTAGCCGTCGCAACGATTGACGTGTGCGCTGGTGCGTTATCGTGATGAAACAAGATTTTTTTCTTCGCCAGATGAGGTCGTTTAATTTTCACCTCGTGGCTCAAACGTTGCAATAAGTCTGCGTAGTATTGACCAGTGATAGTATTACCCTTTGCAAGGTAATCAATGTATATAATACCTCTTGCATCCCAAAAAACAGTAGCCATAACCTTGTTCGCCGAAAAAATTGTTTTTGCCTTCTTTGGAGTTGGTTCCCCTGGTCCAATCCACTGTTTAGACTGTTCTTTGGTTTCAGGAGTGTAGTGGTGGACCCACGTTTCGTCAACGGTTACGAATCGACGCAAAAATTCGCTTGGATTACGCTTATACAATGACAAATTTGCGGTAGAAATGTTTTTTCGAATCAATTTTTGGTCGACTGTTAGCAAACGCGGCACCCATCTTGCACAGAGCTTTTCCATATGCAAATGTTGGTGCAAAATATGTTGCACACGTTCATATGACATCTTACAGGTCTCAGCTATCTCACGCACTTTCAATCTGCGGTCTCCCAGCACTATTTGATGAATTTTTTCGATCATATCTGGAGTTGTGACCTCAACGGGGCGTCCTGAGCGAGGCCCATCAGAGGTGCTCACACGACCCTTTTTAAACTCGGAAACACACTGCTTAACGGTTGAATATGACGGGGAGGATGTCCCCAGTGTTGAGTCCATCTCTTTTTTAATTTCCTTCGGCGTTAACCCCTTCAAATAAAAGTATTTGATGACAGCACGATTTTCCTGCTTTTCCATTTTTACGAAAACCACAGAGGCGTCTTGTTCAGCGTGCTGTCAAACCTACACTAGCAAGGAGATCGGGCTGAAACTATAGCTACAAGCTATCCAAGGATGGTACTATAGAATGTCACCTCAAGGTAGGCCTAGTGGCGTCATCTCTTGGTTAGGCCGGAAACTTATCAATCCACCCTCGTATTTGCCCGCGCTTCTGCAGGGCGTTCGTAATATGCTTTTTCTTAATAACTAAGTTTGTACATGTCGAACGCTTATCAATAAATCCATGCTGTTCATCGCAAATCATATTTCTGAAAGTAATACAAATGTATCGTGTAACAATTTTTTCGAACAACTTTAGAATTTAATTAAGAATAGAGATAGGATGGTAGTTCGAAGCGTCTGACTTATCTCCACTTTAAAAAATAGGGACTATTTTACTCTGCTTCCAAGCATCAGGAAAGATTCCAGATTTTAAAGATTTATTGAAATGTGTAACGGGCGTGATAAGGCATATTTACAGTTAACCAAAAACATGTTTGGAATTAAGTTCGGTCTGGCACCCTTCCTGATATCAAGCTTAGCAATTTAGTCAAAAACCTTACTCAGTGATATTTGAATTTGATTTGATATTATAATCTCCCAAACTTGTTGCTATCAAGAATTTTTTTGTAAATTGCATTATCTAGCTAGTACTAAAAAAATACAGAAATGTAGACCTCGCTATACTCAAATTGATTACCGAAGGGCATACACGTATGTTCTAACAAAAGAGGTGACGGATAGGAGTGAAATTCACAAAAATTATTGCAAATAGCGTCATTCAGGATATGAAAGATTGCTTCAAGGGTATTTCCAATCATCACATTTCCCGTTATTTTTATTGTTGAGGTCACTAAAACAGAAACTTAGCCTTCAGTAACCTCGAATGCCATGGTCAAAGTCAGATTAAAGGTCATCAATTTCTCTTTCAAAAGCATACAAACGTATGCAACATCCTTTGGAGTTAATGGTTCTAGAAATAATTTGGAACGTGTGATTTCGATCTTCTGAAGTTGAAAGTACTGTTCTAATGATAATTAAGTCAGCATTGTTAGGAGTTTTCGTAATCAGTGTCCTTGAAACCATAATCACAGCGTAGGTAGGCTTGATTCGGTCAATGGAGATATTGTCCCTTCAATCACCGTTGGACAGTAAGAGGTGAGATTGAGTGGAATTCTTGATCAGAATATTGACTGTTGTAAAATGGTACTAACGTTTGACGACACATTACAAACACCTAAAGGGTAGATGGAATATAAGTAATAATTCACTTTTCAGTATCGTATAATTACGGTGCTCATGGAAACCTATATGAATTTCGCTAAGGATTTAGATTTTAGATTTATTGTGAAGATGGGTATTTTAAGGGGGAAATCGACAATGTTGTGAAGATATTGGTGCGACCAAAGTAAATGTATATTGCCCGTCTTTGTAAGCTACTTCTTATCTTGCTTATATAGAACAATTTCGATTTGGTCAATTATTTTTCGGAACTTTCATTGGCGTGTTGATGAGAGCAATATATATATATATATCGGGAATCCGACACTACCCAGTCGTACGGACGGCTGGGTGTCTTTTGAAGATTTCCCCTCTTCCACGAAAACATAAAAAAAAAGCAAAATATATGTCTGCTAGTCAAGAAGTTAACGTTCCTCATGAAGTATTGTCATTATAGTTCCAATTAAATTTGAATCCAATTTTCATTTTCATGAATGAATTTTGGTAAGGGGCTAATATTCATTTCATATATATTTCAACACTAAACTGTCTAATTACTTATTTCTTACTTTTGCCTTTTTTTATAGAATTAATTTTTTTTTATTCAATATCATTTTAGTTTAGTTAGTAATTGGTTTTTAATGTGAAATTCCTCATTTATTAAAGCGTGTACTTACGCACCTGCAACTTCCCTATTTGATAGACTACGTTGGTAACCAATGTATGATCCCTCCAATAGAGTAGGTTAATATAAGGGGCATGTTCTATTTCTTCTGTAGGTACATAATTAATCCTTTAATATATTAATCATTGTATATTTTATTTTCCCGTATTAGTTTCGATGAGAACTACGAGATCTCGTTTTGATCAGGTCAGTTTAGGAACTCCTGGCTGTTATCCTCAAACCTCGCATCAATGAATTTTTTGATTAAGAAAAAGCCTATCCTTCAAACTACATATGTTCCAGGCAATATTAAAAGGGTACCCAGCTTTTCTATTATTTATACTTTAGTCTTATGTTTTTTCTTATGTTCTCGAGGTTATGACTTTAAATTATTTATTTATTGTTTAAAATTTATTTAATTATTGTGATACCTGAGCCAGTATAAATGATATTGTGTATGTATCGGATGGATTATGAGACTCACTATTGTCACGTTCAATTTGGAAACGGTGTCCTCACCATTTATGTTATATCGGTAATTGGTTAATTATTTATTTTAATTGCCTGATTTTAATGCAAATTGATTATTTTGGCGTGACTGGGGGTCAGGTAATTGATAGGAGCGTCGCAGTTATCATTGCCCAGAAGGTAGTGTCACCAACACACAGAATTTGCCACCTATTACTCTTTTTAATGGTAGACTTTATCTCTTCGCGTTCCGGAATCGACTGATCGCGATCAAACCATCGATCCCCGTTCACGCGCTAAACTTTTTGATGAAGCAGTTATTATTTGACCATAGTTCAACATGGGTCATTCACTGGTTCCAGAAGTTTCTCTGGTTTAGCTGATTTAATGAAAAAAACCGACGAAGTCCTTATTGATGACTTCGCGAAGTTCAATAATTTTCCTAATGACCAGAGCTATCGAACTGGGGTCAAATTCCGCTTGTAAAATAGATAATTATTTTCACTTGCCGCCCCGTTGTTGCGGAATGCCAAATACGCTTATTTTTGCAAGTGAATATTCGATATCCGTTTTATGAATTAGAAAAGAATAGCAACATTATAATTATGAAATATTTAATTAATTTTGAAATATGTTTTAAGGTCTAAAATGGTTTTTTGAATTTCATTAAAATTTCACTGCGTGACACTATGACCGAATTAAATTATTTGATTTCGAGTTTCCTCCTACTATAAATTTATTTTTTGGTAATGCTATCAACTAATAATCAGATATCGTTATCATCATAAGGTCGTCAGTCCTAAGACTGGTTGGACACGTACCTCCACCCTTTCCTATCCTGAGCTAATCTTCGCATTTCCCTAAAACTAGATCAACCCACATCCTTAACTATTTGCGAAGAGTAATCTGATCTAGGTCTACCTCTACTCCTCCTAACTCCCGTTTCTGCCTCTAATATGTCTCTAACTAGATTTTCATGCATGAGAAGGCGTCCTACTAACCTATCTCGCCTATTTCCTATTGACTTCCATACAGTTCTCTGTTCTCCTATGCTTTATAATACTTCTTCATTTCTAACCTTCTCTATCCATGGTATTCTCATCATTCGCCCATAAAACCACATTTCGAACGCTTCTAACCTTTTCTTTTCCGTCGCGCCTACTGTCCATGTTTCGTACCCGTACAGCACCGCGCTCCAAACATACACCTTTAACAGCCTTTTTCGAATTTCTAAATTAACCCTTTGCGAGCATAGAGCATTCTTTTTATTGAAGGCAACACGAGCCTGCGCTATCTTCTGCTTTATATCCCTACTACTCCTTCCGTCCTGAATTATCTGACTTCCTAGATACCTAAAATCGTCTCCTATCTTTATATTAGCTCTTTTTATACTTTTTCGTCCCTTGCATACCAGTATTTTTGTTGTACTTTTATTTATTTTGATACAGTACTGCTTTGTCAGGACTGCTTCAATTTTATTTAAAATTATCTCTAACTCGTCCTTACTACTATAGATGCTAATACTGCTATATCATCTACAAATCTAAGCATTCTAATTTTTTGCACCTGTATATCTACCCCTGTGTACTGTCTTTAATGATGTTGATCGCGTCCTCGATGTATAGATTAAAAAGTAGCGATGACAGTGTTCATCCCTGTCTAACTCCATTCCTAATATTTAATTCTCTACGTTGCAGTCCCATCTCTATAACTGCCTATTGCTCTTTATACAAACTATGTATCACTCTTTTATTTTTGTAACTCATCCTTGTCATTACAGTTAAGTTAATTTGATATAAAGATATTTGGCTTGAAAATTTGTTTAGATGGAAATGTTCAGTGGTGATGCTGGTAGAAGTTTGTTGTGGGTCCCAATCAATGAGGCTAACTCACTATCAAATAATTTTCAGAGCATCAATTATTACAATAACTAAACCTGATGTTCTGAACTCTCTTCACTGCTAATTGGTACTTAAGCTCTGGGACCCCCAGTCTAGTATCTACAAAAGAAATTATCTATGTATTACTACGCTGTCCAGACTAGATCCCCCTGGTGTTTTATGACTCCAAATGTTCTTGCTAGCTCCTTCATCATAACAGTATGGTTTTATTAATAGTTTGGACCGACTTAATTATATTTTGAATTAAAAACAACTTATTCTTTAATATACTTTGTATTAATTTTTTTATGTTTGCTGAGAGCATCGATCTCTCAGTTAATCAACTTCAATACTTCTGCCTGCCTCAAAGTAATTCGTGTGTGTTTTTGGTTCATTGCTTTTGCGGTGCCCGAGCTTAGTTTCTTTTTCAAGTACTTATTCAGTTTTATCAAGTGTTTACTTCAAATTAATTAAACGAAAACTAATTTAATTCTACATAACTTTAAAACTATAAATTAGAATTAAACTTGATAATAATAAAATTAAACATAAATACTTCTGGGATATGATAATCGATCGAGGTTTATTACGATATTCTGAGCACCTTTCCTGCAACCTTTTCTACCGTGGTTTAATATTCCCTACCATTGCACAACCTAACGAAGCACATTAGCGTGGTTAGGACAGTCCAGCGAATTATGCGTTAATCGTAGAAACCATACCCTACATATTTATACCTAGATCGGGGAGTTTTAAGCACAAAATTAGTTTAAATATGTTCCTAAATATATCGCATTTTTCCCAAAAAATGTCAAATATACACCTCGTTTTTACCATTTCTACATTTTTATATTTTCTATTTTTGACGATTTTTGATTACTGGAAGTAAAGGAATAAGTATTAAAACAACGATCATTAATTCAAATAACACTTATAGATGAATATTATATCACTTTAAGTATTTTCAATTAAAAAGTTCATCTTTGCACGACCGAATAACAAATAAAACTAAACTACCAATTTGAAAAGTTGTTGAACAGTAAATGAGAAGAAATGGCTGTGTTTCAGAGCAAGAGGCAATAAGCCAATATCCAAAAACCGATAAACAAATTTTACTTTTATCATTTTATCTGAAAACTGTTACAAACTTATAAATTGATTAAGCAGATACTATTTTATATTCAAAAAGTGATCCGTCAAATGGGCATACACCATCTGGTGGCAAAATTTATAACTCGAATGAGGGAAAAATTTACATAGGAACTGTGCACACAAATTGTAAAATTGTTTATTAAAATAATAAAACACGTTAAAAAAGTAAAAACTTTTTTGATGATGGAGTCGACGAAGTTTTCTTCTAAAGTTAAATCAAATAAAAAGTTAATATGTTCAGTGAAAAGCTGCAATAGCACTTCAGACATAGATCTTCACTCTTCACCTACATTAACTACTTTCCAATAAAAACTAACCGTTTTATATATGTAAAAAATATATTCGGAAAATTAGAGAAAAAAGTAAACTAATAGAAGCTTGGATGAAAGCAGTAGGTATCAAAGAAGTGAATTCCGGAATAAAAATTTGTTCACGTCATTTTAATGCACATGATTATATTTCAGCAAGTATTTACCATCAGCCATAACCTTAATATTTAAAACTAGAATCATACTAAAATTATAAAGTGAGAAATTATTTATTCCTGTGTAATTGATTTAACACAATTCTAATGATACGATATAAGTATTTTGAGGTTAAGAACCTACCTGCTGCAATACAACAAAGTTGCAATAATGTGTTTGCAACGTTCTCTTAAATCGGCTTTGCACGTGCAAGTCATTGATATGATATTGCTTAAATCACCCAGAATCACCTCACCAATTATATAACGTGAATCACTTTTTAAATCCGAAGTTTGTAAAAAGTAGGCAGTAAACTTGACGGAATTTTAAGGCTAGCTTCCGGATTTGTTATTTCCGAATTTTATAATGTGATTGGTATTAAAAACACGCTCACCTTCAACGAAATTTCCTTTCCGAGGCTTTGTGTCAGCCTAATCACATATTGTGTCAATACTTATCATCATTTTATCGTAATTTAAAAACTTGGAAATTGCACCGTACACTATAGGAACTACGATAAATTTTCCCTAATCGGCGCCATGTTTTTAGGCTCCTCCCATTTGACGGATCCCAATAGTTATTTTTGAAATATTTGTACGTAAGAAAAACATTTTTTTTTCAATAAAAACTGTTTATAGCACTGTATGCACAATTTTGATAAAACATCCCTACATTATAAAAAAAAAATTATTGTATAGGTACAGTATGCAGTGGATTTTATTCACGATGAAAATGTGACGAAACTGACCGTGTTCGTCACTAAGATTTGATGAAAGATTTGATAGAAAGTGATGTGTTCGCGCATGCTCAAAATGAATAAATATTATTACTATTGATGCTACAACAATTTATTAATTTTGAGCATGCGTACACTATTAAAAATTTGTTGCACATGCGCGAGCGCATTACTGAGTTGAATGTTTCAGTAAAAAACACGTACACTGAATTGTCTGACCGCCCGGCAGAGATGTCTTATGGTGCCCTCTCTACTGTCGTTCGGCTTACGGCAACATAAAGTCTATGTAATATAGCCGTGATAACCATTTCAAGTCTTAACGTTTATAAACAAATTAATGAACAATTGACGTATCAATAGAATATCTCGCCTTTCATTTGACCTATAACAAAAAGGTGAAAGTTGATTAAAATATTCGACCCCATCCCGGAACTAATACGATGGAAAGAAGACAAATAGATCAAGTAAAAGCGAATAAAAAGTAGAAACACTGCAAGTATATGAAAACGTGGATAAAACTGATAGTAGTCAACTAATTGAATTCTGTATCTAACACTAAATTAAACCCCTGTATAAAACTACCTCAGAATATTTATAATAGAATAGAACTAGCAGCTGTAATTTATTGTTTATTTTTTAATTCTAAAATAATAAAGTTAAAATTACGTAAGTTTTGCTGCTTAAAAAATCATTTGGTTGTTCAGTTGGTGCAAAGGAAAACTGCTTTTTAAAAAACATTTAGAAAAATTTTGCGACTAATAATATGATTTTTGTCCTTTTCAGATGACGAGTTACTTTTTAAAGATCAATGGGGCGGAATAAGTTTGTTACGTGCTTCTAATTTGTCTACAAAAACGTTAATGTCAAATCACACTTATGTAAGTATGCCAAATTTTATAATTTTTAATAACCCTTTAAGACCAATGCCGAATACTACCTAGAACATACAAAAGTTAGTTAAAAATTACACTCAAAATCTCCTGTTGTAAGCCGAACAACAAGAAATGGCAAACATAAATGCGTGAGAGTCAAAGAGAGAGAAAAATTTGCCCATGACCTTTATTCTGACCTAGAAGTTAAATATCGAAGTCATTTGGTAATCAAGGCCATTTATAAAGGTGACATTCTTTCGATACGGGAAACAAAAAAATAGTGAAACCTTTATGATTACATATAGTTTTACTCATTAGTCAAAATGAGTTAACTTGAAGGTAAAAATGATCTCCAAATATCTTGCCGAGAAGAAAATAAAAAATATTTTAAGTAAATGTATTTTTAACTTCCCATTAGGAAGTTATTGTAATTGGGTCGAAAAGTGAAATCGGAATTTTCATTATATTTCCACGTTTTAACATATTAGTAGCATGCTAGCCAATTTTTTTGATGATGTGTGTATGTACGTACGTACGTACGTACGTACGTACGTACGTATGTACGTACGTTCGTATGTCAGCATTTTTTTCGTTTTCGATATCTCAAGAACGGATTGAGATATCGCCCTCAACCAAAATTTTTTCGAAAGATATTATCATAATGAAGATCTGAAAGAAATTTGAACGAAATCGGTCAAGCCGTTTTTTTTTTATAAAAAAAAAAACGAATTAATTACAAACAATTTAATTAAAATACGTTCTAATCTAATCACAACAATGAAGTTACGGAATCAATAATAACGAAATATCATTATTCAAGACAGGGAATAACATATTATAATAACATATTATAATAAAAATTTGTTTATAACAAAATGAATTGTTATAAACAATCGATAAACAATAAAAAATAGTATTTACCAATTGACTGATGCAAGTACTCTATCAATTCGGTTTTCTCAGACGAAATACTGTTTCTTATGGGTTTATAAAATGACGAACTCTCAAACATTGTTTGTTATTTATTATTGTGCCGCGTTTTTTTCAAACTTTAGAAACGAATGTACTTTACAATAACTGTATTATCTAATGGGAAGTTAGTCGTATTAGCACCGACCAAAATGTGCTCAGACCAATTTTTTCTTGTACTTCCATCTTTCGAAGACGATTTGTAATCTTAACGTTAGCATTCAGTACTATGCTTGGAATCGATACGTAGAATCGTTAAGGATCATGTACCTACTAATAGTTTTTAAAGATTTGAAGATCATAGTAGGTAGAATTTTTATTTTATCCTGAGTGTGAATATGTAAAATTATCACATGTCACGTAGGTTAACTTGAATGCAAGTCTCTACAGGATGTAACAGAAATTAGTGTGGAGTTTGCAAGAAGGGATAGGACGCTATAAATCAAGAAAATTAAGAAAATGTTTGTATGTCTGAATTTTCACTGTTTTTGAGGAAAATATAATTAAAGGTACAGGAAAATGTAACTCAGGTCCTGGAAAATAAATGCGATATTCAATCAACAGAAAATTAGCAATATCAGTGTTGCATTTCTTCTGTATTTTTTGCTCATGTATTGTTTTGTATTCGTTCAATTACTTAGACTACTGTGATTCAAGATGATTATGTGACAGCCAAACAATAGTAATTGTTTGTTCTTTCAACGTCTCATAATCATCGATGTGCAGTTCAATAAACTAATTCAGCAATACAACATCAATATTTGGAATAGGTTAGTTTGTCACTGAAGAACAGTTGTCGTTACAATGATGTGACGTGATATTTATTTGCGGGTTTGAACCATATCGCCTATATAGAGGACGAAACCTTTGATTTCAGAGAAGTAAAACAGTATGCGTGGATTAGCGGAGAACGTTAGTTAATGCAGGAGTTACTGTATCTTTATCATGCACCGAGAGCAAACCTTGCTTCAAACTTATTTTCAGCCGTGTGGATTTGTGCTGGTGGTTCTGCGGAATTATTGCTAATTTTGCTATTTGGATCGTTCGTTTTATCTGCACGAGATAAATTATTTGAAATTTTTACAAGTAGGTTTTAGGTACTTGAGGTTGTACTGTTGCAATTGTGTGGGCGTTATTTTATTTCTATATGGTGGTGTGTACAGATTGTAAAACCAGTGCATAAGTTTTTTATTGACGAGCAATTTTCTGGGCGGTGGGTTGAACGTAGAGATGCTGTACCTTAGTTAGTACGTATTCCGGATCTAAATCTAAATCAGTTGGACGTTTTTGTATGAATGAAACAGCGAGTATATCAAACAAATGTCTTCCAGCACAGGATTATAATTTCGGACAATTTTTGTAGTGCACGTTTGTATGCAGGTATGTTTGATTGATAAGTAAGCGGTAAGTTCATTTACAAGCAAAAATGATTAAAAATTCGAGTCTAAAAGGTGTTGCCATTTTATTTCATACAATCACCACATCCAAACTAACAGGTTATGGGCCCAGGTCGAAACGAAATGATAACACACCAGTGCCACGTGATAATTTAACCATACTTCTCGTGCACGCCTTCAACCGACACTCGAATCATCGACGAAAATCGTTCAAAACAATCGACTAGAGGACTTTCCGAAACATGCGCTACAATTCTCCCTGCCAGCAGCTGATTCTCTTCGAGTGAAAATCCTGGAAGAAGACGAAGCCAGAAAACAAAAATAGAAAAACTACGACAACGGCGCCTTCTTTTTCAAGCGTTATCAGTCTGGACAGAAATTCAAGAAGACCGGTAACTTGTCTAACTATCCAAAATCCGTACAGTCCGACAAAAGCAGGCAACGGCGCAAGTATTGCAAATACAAGGGACACGTTATCAACGAATGCCGCAAAGGCAACGTCCGGATCTCAACTAAGGTGGGCAAACAAGAAAAATTAATGTAAATTAATTTAATAATAAAACCTGACTTGAATACCACGGCCGACGACAGCATAGTTCTACCGAAGCGAGGAGCCGGGCGACCAGCCAAAGTCAAAACTGGTAAACCAGGCAGACCAGCTAAAAGGTATCACTACACCGAGAAAAATTCCTCGACGAGACACGACGAGGAACGCTCAGGTGCAGGGCAACATAAGGACGACGAAGAATCGGCCGAATCCCGTGATCTGGACGACGAGGAACTTGAACCGTTTCTCGGCTTCGATCAACCCAAGTACCTCGGGAGTGACGAACCGAGCTGCCTCACTATGTGCTCCGAAGAAGATGCCGACTTGCCGGATGTCGAATTCGCCATGTCCTGCTCAGAAATTCTTCTTTCTGATACAATCTCTGCTCCTGAAACGGAGGAATGGATGGAGGCTATCAACATCGAGAGTCGAAGCCCGCTGGAAAATAACGTGGTCATCGGCTCCAGAACCGTACTCAGGAATAAATACTGGAACGCCGCAAAGCCAGAATCGTCGCCAGATCCCAGGAGTTGACTACCACGACACTTACTCTCCTGTCGCGCGATTAAGCTCACTCAGACTTTTGCTGAATCTCGCCGCTAAGTACCTGATGCACGTGACTCAGCACGACGTGACAACGGCATATCTCTACGGAGATATCGACACGGACATATTCATGGAATTGCCCGAGATACTCGAAAAATCCCTGGAGACCATCTCCAAGCTGTATAAGGACCCTCGCATGAGAGAGAAGACCTCCAAGATGTTATCCAAAATCCTCGAGGGCAATCAGGTGTGCCAGCACGACCGCACCATCTACGGACTCAAACGAACCGGACGACAGTTGCACTCGAAACTCCTCCGAGATAAGGAGTAACGGGTACTCACCTACTGACTCGGATCCTTGCCTTTTCGTGGATCGGGACAGGCGAACATTTGTCCTCATCTATGTCGACGTTTTAATCGTCGTCACCAAGGACCAACGCAGAGAGAAACAGCTCATCGAGGCCCTCTCCAAGAGCTTTAAGCTCAAGAACATTGGCCAAGCCAGCTATTGTCTGGGTATTCAGATTAATAGAACCAGGGAGAGCATCTACATCTTGTAATCAAACTACGTTCGAGATGCCCTGGCCAGATTCGAGATGAGCAACTGCAACCCTGCGTCTACTCCTCTTGCCTCCGGTGTGAATCTCCATGATCCTGCTTTCGATGTGGACGACACCAACGAGGGGCGGCCCTACTTAGAGCTCATCGGAGCTCTGATGTACCTAGCTGTGGCAACTCTGCCCGACATTACCAGCGCAGTCAGTATACTCAGTCAATTCAATGATAAACACTCCAATACACATTGGATTGCTGCCAAGCGTGTTCTGTGGTACTTCCGAAGAACCGTCAACTTGGGACTCACCTACTATGCTGATTGGGCCAATTGCACCTAGGACCGCAGATCCTACACCGGCTACTGTTTCTTGCTGTCTGGAGCAGCCGTGACCTGGGAGTCGCGAAAACAGCACACAGTCGCTCTTTCGAGCACCGAGGCTGAACATCTTGGTCTCTCATCCGCTGGAAAAGAAGCCGTCTACCTGAGCAGATTCCTTACGGATTTCGGCTGCCCTTCGATCGCTAAAGTCGAATTGTTCAACGACAATTCTGGAGCCATCAAACTCGCCGAAAACCCCGTTTTCCATTCCCGAACCAAGCATATTGATATCCGTCACCATTACATTCGTTACATTCTGAAAAACGAGCCAATCTCTTTTTCACACATTTCAACAGATTTCATGCTCGACCATTTTCTCACCAAAAGACTTGCTACCTCGAAACACGACTTTTACCGCCAAGAACTAGGAAATCTTCCCGAAGACTCCACCGCCAATTGTCGTATTAAGGGAGAGTGTTGAATTTATAATTCTCCCGCTTGCTGCCGGAGTGCCGAGACGCCCTCTCATGATTGACTTCAGTTTCAAATTTCAATAAATATGCCCCTTCCTTTTATTAGGATGCGCCGTAGCATATTTCCAAATTCAATCATATTTGTGTGCGTAGCTCATTTCTCCACCGATCATCGAGCGAGAGCTAGACAAAAGTGTACA